CCCCTGCATGCTACTGTCTTACTCGTACTTAATAAATGTTTGAATAGGCCAGTTAATAAATAGAAGTTGCATAAAACCCTCACCCTGTAGTACATGATTCAGCTCTGTCACATTCTGAAATACATATAACCAAGTTGGGACTAATTTGGTGTGTTTGAACCTGCTGTGAAGTTATGCTGGTGAACTTTTGAGTTATTCCTAGAGGGTTGCAGGGCACTGATGATGTAAATCTAGAATTGTGACCTCACTGTGGGCATGACCAGGAAATAGGGAAGGCATGAGCAGGAAGCTGTGACTGGGGAAGAAGTTTCTGGGCCTAACAGAAAATGTAGGTAGACTTAGGGTTAGGTAGCAGCTGTCGGGAACTTGTCCCTGCCCATAAGATCCTGAAGGGCCCTCCATTTTAAATATCACCAGACAATTAGAACTCAATTCCTCCTTTGTGTCAGCTAGCAAGAGGTGCTTAGGGGGCTGTGCCCAGCAGGACTCCACTGCCCAGCAGAACAGTTCGGGAGCCAAGTGGCCTAGATCTACCGTGAACTACCTGCCTGTTTGCCTTCCTCTTCACCTCATTCTCATCACTGACATCTACCATTGGCTTGGAAATTAGAAACATATCCATCTAGATGGTAAACCATTACTAAGGAATAATTATTTGTTTTATAGCTATTAGTTTTTAGTGGAACTTAAAGTTGGTAAGTCTGAATCTAGGGGCAGCCTTGGTTTTAGAGATGCATTTGGTTTTTTTTGTTTGTTTTGGTGACTGTCCAAAGGGGATCTGAACCCTTAACCTTGACCTTGGTGTTATAACACCATGCTCTAACCAACACCAGCCCCTAGAGATGCATTTGGGTTGAACAAACTATGTTTCACTGAAACTTTTACTTGCTCCTTGCAGGTTGATTTTGATGATGTGGCTGCAATAAACCCAGAGCTCTTACAGCTACTTCCCTTACACCCAAAAGACAATCTGCCCCTGCAGGAAAATGTAACAGTCCAGGTAGGTGCCTGTCATTTGGCTGCAGCCAGTGCCACAGAGGATTCACTTTGCTTGTTGGCTCTTTGCTGATTTGTTTTCTGGGACTACCTGGGACTTCAGCACAGCACTTGGGCCCAGAATAGTCCCGTGAGCATTGATAAGAGCCATATATTGTTGNGCTATCAAGACCAAGCAGGGACTGTCTCACCTCTTTATGGTCTTGAGGAAAAAGCCACAGAGGCATACAGAGAGTTCAGGTTAGAACTGGAGTGCTATTATCACTACTCTGTTCTCATATTAGTCAAGCCATTACTTTGTGGACTTGTTCATCCCAAGAGTCACATCTATTGCTGCTTCTCCTTGTATATATTCATTTAGTGATTTAAGAGCAAGGATCTAGA